CTAGGTTGGTTTTTCTTATATCCAAGTCCTTCACCATTACTAACTTTTTGCTTAAGTATTTTATCTAAGGTGTTTGAAGCATTATTAAACTTTCCCAATTTGCTCTCTAAACTAGCAACCTTAGCTTTTAGTGATGTACAACTAGAGCATGTAGAAGAAGAAGTAGTTGAAGGTTCTTGTGGCCTTTTTCCAAAAGAGATAATTTCTTGTTTAAGTTTATCATTTATATTTTTGAGTTCTTTGATATCATTCTCAAAAATCAGGAATTTTTGCTTTATTTCATTATTTTCTTTGGAAGCCTTTTTGAGCATTCCTACTAAATCTTCTACAATGCAAACAACATCATTAAGAGTTAAAGGATCATTGGGAGAAGGTTCTTGATCACTTACCTCTTTTGATGTATCACCATCTTCAATGGCCATGAGACATAAGTTGGCCACTTCCTCCGTTTTTGAGTCTTCACTCCCGGAGCCGTCGTTCTCCCAAGAGATGTAGGCACGTTGCTTCTTCGGTGCCCTCTTGTCCTTCTCGTTCTTGAGCTTCGGACACATTGGTTTGATGTGTCCAATTTCACCACACCCATAGCATTTGGGTGGAGTGTTCTTCTTGGCTCCCTTCTTGAGCATCATCTTTTTGAATTTTCGGACAAAGAGTCCGAGGTCGGTGTCGTTGCTGTCATCATCTTCATCATCAACGTTGTTGTGGGTTGATGTTGTTGCGGGTAGAGCAATAGACCTCTTGTTCCTCTCTTCAACCACCTTTGAGAGTTGGGTGGTTTCGTAGGTAATGAGATTACCTCGAAGAGCATCATAGGTCGTTGTTTGGAAGTCACGACCTTCTTCGATTGCGTCCACCTTTGAACGCCATTTGGGGGATAGGCTTCGCAGCACCTTTCTCACGAGCCCTCGGTCGGTGTAGGTCTTCCCGAGAAGATTGAGAGGATTAATGATGTTAGAGAACCTCTCAAACATTTCCTCAATCTTCTCGTTTTCCTTCATTGAGAAGAGTTCGTACTCGTGAGTAAGATGGTCGATTTTGGCCTCCCGAACCTGCGCGGTTCCTTCGTAGGTGACCTCCAATTTCTCCCACATTTGTTTTGCGGT